TTTAGTTTCGTCACTGGAATCTTAATATTAAAATTACATATACCAAACTAAAGGGAAATCATCATTTTGTCGGTTTCAAAAAATATATATATATTATAATTACTTACACTCGGCGTTTTTTTTTTTTTTTAATTAAAAAAAAAAAAATTTAGGCCTAAAATGTTTCGGTACTGTCCCTTTAATTGGGAAGGGAAAAGAGATCAAGGGCGCTCAACGAAACTGGTGGTAAAATTTGTGGAGAGGCCTTAGTAAGTCACTCCCCAGTAAAGTTTTGTTAAATTCAAAATGATGGGATGCATTTGGCGCTTACGTGATTTGTGTGTGTGTGTGTGTGTGTGTGCACTTAATCGGCTAGCAACTGAAAAGATGCTGGTTGAAATTGTGGTTCCTGTGATTAGTACGTATGACTGACACGATTATTGTTGTGTGCATGGTGTGTACTTTGTGACCTGATTGGCCTGTGTTGTTGTTGTCAAGTGGTATGACCTTAACGTGGTGAGTTCTTTTCATGAATGTTTTAAACTTAAATGTGTGAATATTGGCTGGAGAAATGGAGTGATCATGTGATGTGAAGTATAAAAAGAAAAGAATGTAGGGTGAGGAATAAAGATGAGTTGTTACACAGACCGGCAGACGAGTTGGGGGTCATATTTGACTATTACAGTTCCCTTGACCACGCATGGGTTTGTTTGCAATTTATTCTTAGTTGTATCTCAATGGTCATCATGCTGTTTTCCTAATTTTAATCTGAAACTATTAATTTGTTTAACTACTTCATTAATGAATGAATTTTTTACAAATAGTTTCGTTCACAACAAAAAAACAGACGAACTACTAGTACCGGTATAGTAGTATAGTAAATTACCATTTTGCATTTATTTAAAACTTAATTAGGTCTTTTCCAAAATTTATAGTTATAAAAAAGAGAACAAAAATACTGTTTTTTAGAAAACATCTATAGATTTTATATGTTTATAAAAAAAATGGCAATTTAAAATTAATTGTATTTATATTTTATAAAAAAAGAAAAAAAGTAAATCTTTACAAAAGGCGTCATATATTTATTACTATGGGATTTATCAGAGGGAGAATGAAACAAACAGATTCGCCAAACAAATGCAGTATAGAAAATAAGTTGGAATTTCTAACTACACTGTACTATAATTTCTTCATTTAAATGTATAAATAATGAACTTATGGCGCCTTTTGTAAGACTCTTTGATTAATTGTAAGACCCTAACAAAAAACAAAAAAAAATCCTTGATTTTTTTTTTCAAATTGACAATTTATCAAAAGAAACCTTTTCTGTAACAAGTACCAATAAGAGAAAATTGAACCAAAAAAAACTTGTTTAAATAAACTGGAGAAACTATAAATTAAATTGCCAGAAAAAATGTTTCAATATTCCTTTACGATATTGGCAGCATAATGTCCTTAGAAGCATGAGGCCTCCCTGCAGGCGTGAGGCACTTGGCAAGAGCCCGGTGTTCCCATACCTTAAGACGGCCCTGTACACAATAGCGCAGTGATTCTCAAGTTGAGGTACATGTACAAATAGTGGTACATTGCGTTGTTCCACGTGTTGCTTAGCCAATATTAAAACAAAAAAAATGCATGTACCACAAATCAGTGGCGTAGCGAGGGTGCTTGGCGCCCGGGGACAAGATTCGCGCCCGGGGACAGATCCATTTTTAGCGCCCCTTTTTCTTTTTTTCAACTCTCAAACCCATTATTTTCATCAATAAAATAATATCAAAGCACATTTTGGCGCCCCTAACTAGCTGGCGCCCGGGGACATCTGTCCCCCCCTGCCCCCACCACGCTACGCCTCTGCCACCACTAGTAAACTATGTAGACGTGGGCACTTGCGTTTTGAGCAGATTATTTCAGTGATACAACGATACAAAAGTTTCAGAAAATGTGCAATAGTTCTTCCAGAGATTAGGCTACCTGTCAAAACAGACTCACACATTTACGTTTTTCGTGGCTGTTACATACTTGCCGATACACACAAGCTTCACTAAGAAAAAATGGGGGGGGGGGATGTCATCGACACTATTTTTGGAAGGTTTAGAGACTTTTTATTACCATAATGATTATATGGCAGGTCACGTGTTTACTATTACAGATATCGATTTATTTTTATTTTTTTAATCGCTTTTGTTTGTGGCTGACTGGCGGCGAGGGCAAAATCGTGGGACTGCTAATTGGACCGCTTCCCGTCAAGTTATCGAGCTGAAACTTGGCTCATAGACTCATTGGCGATGATTACGCATTCTTTCAAAATTTCAGCCCCCCCCCACCCCAACCCTAACCCCCAAAATCCACTTTTCCTGTTTTTTCAAAGGGAAGATTAAATAAAATTACCGATAACAGCGTTAAATGAGATTCTTTTTTTTATTTTTATTTATCGCAAGCGCGTTTGGTGCGTAATATTTTCTTTTGTTTTTCTTAAATAGTTTGTGAAATTAATCTGCGGTGTAAAAAACGTGCAGGTCATTAGAATATTACTACAGTTCAGAGGCATGAAACCATACGTGCGGTTGCGAGCACTAATTGGGATTATTATAAAGTGGGCTACTTGTAAGCATGTTTTGTCACATTTTTTTGCCCCCCCCCCCCAAAGCTCGATATTACATTTTATAACGTATTTATACGAAAGTGCCTATAATCATTGATGGGGAGATGTCACAGCCGTGACAAATACTTGACTTTTGATACTTTTAATCTGTTTGTAGGCTTACAGCTGGGTCATCTCGTACGGAAACCCTAGACCTTTAAAAAACACCACCAAACAACCTGTAACTGCTCTATGCCAATGCGGTCTATGCTTTTTAAGTAACAAGTTCATTCGCGAGGAGTCAGACATTCGGTTAATTTCATTTGAGCTAGAATCCCCTGAACTTTTGCGTACCCGGTAATTATAATTACAACATACACACACTTGTGCATAGCCTCTTTTATTCTGCTCTCTTTCTCTCTCTCTCTCTCTCTCTCTCTCTCTCTCTCGTGCACTTCTCACTCACGATCTCTCTATCTCTTTCTCTCTCTCTCTCTTCCCCCCCCTCTCTCTGTCTCTTTCTTTTTCCATATCTCACACTCTTTTTTTTCCACTACCTTTTCTCCTCCCTCTTGTCTGTCCCCGAACACTCTACACTCTGCACTCTAAACTGTCATACACGAATGCTTCACAACCGTTTCAGTGTCACGGACCGACATGAAATATCCAAACATCCACATGTAAACAATGACCGGTCCCCAAGTTATCGACAGTCAGTTAGTTTTCCGCAATCCTATTTTGCGCACAGTTGATTGCAGACCCGTGAACCGATACCGCTCTTCGGACCACCACCACCACTGTGAGAAGCACTGGTCTACACACTGATGCCCCCCCGGTTCTACGCCAAGACTTTTTATTCCCCTGTTTCCGTAACCACTACGAAGTGGTATTTTTTAATTTTTTTTTTTTTTTTTTTTTTTTTTAAATAAA